GGCGCTGGTACCGTAATCAAGCCCTTCCCGGCAGGCTTGTCATTCATCAGCAGCAGAGGCCGAGTGATCTTTTTGTTGGAGACGATCTGAGGGGAGAGAGGAGAGAGAGAAGGAAAGATGCTCAAGCACTCACAGCTCGCTGCTCCATGCCAGGCGCTGGCTACACCTCCCGCTGCGCGATGCTCAAGGGAGGCAAAGGGTAGCTATTGCTAACCCCACTGAGCTGGGGTGGTGGTGGGGGGGGGGGGGGGACGGAGGCCCAGAAAGGTTAAAACACTCGCCTGAGGTCCCAGAGCTGGGATGGGAGCCCAGCAGCCCGACTCCCACGGACCGGGCTGCCCCAGGAAAAGGCTCTTCAAGGCTCACGTCTGGAGACAACTGTGGGGGGTTTAGCCCCCTAACTGCCTCCCCTGAAGCCATCCAACCGACCTCACCCTCCCTGAGGAGAGGCTCAACTCTCTCCGTATTTTCACTGGTTTGCCCAGGAAATACAGTCACACCTGCGTCAGCGATCCACACACAGAAGGGAAAAGGGGCCACCGTGCCAGGCCTCCTGCCCACCCCCTCTGCCCACTGCACCCCACACCCTTCAGGGGCCACCCTGGCTCTGTTTCTCAGGGGAAAGGCCAGGGTTCCTGTGCCCATACGAGCATGTTCCACTCCCCCTACGCTGGTCTCCCTCTCCAGTCCCCTCCCTGCGCTTCTCCACCTTCTCTGTGTCCCTGGGGGCCCAGAGCACCCAGCTCCCTGTGCTTCTGGCTTGTGGGGGTTCAACCAGTGGGGGTGCCAGCAGGAGCCGGGAGAGCAGGCAGGGAGGAGGCTGGCTGAGGCCTGGCAGGAGCTGTTTTCCTTGCCCTGGCTCCTCTGCAGTCGAAGCCACAGCTCTCACCAGCCCTGCCCCCACTTCCTGCCCTGCCCCTCCCTCCAGGCTGGGGTGGCCCCGCTTGGCTGGTGTCTGGTCCTGCGTAGGGTTCCCCTCCCGGGTCAGTTCCCTGCCGCTGACCACTGGGCCTTAAGCTCTGGCCTCAGTTACCTTTTGAGGGTGGGGACACACAGGCCGGCGGGAACCCTGATGGAGGCACCCCACTTCTTACATAACTGTGGGTCCCTTGCTTTTTTCATTGAGCATCACCTCTTGCAAGGCCCAGGGCATTTCCGTCTCCACTAGGACCTCTCCAAGGAATTTTAATTTTATTCCCTCACCAACCCTATCGGCTGGGCAGTCAACATTATCCCCAGGTGAACTATGGGGACATCGAGACCCAGAAGGGGCTGGGGCTTGTCTAAGGGTCCACAGTCACAAAGGATGACTGTGTCAGAGGCTCCTAGCCCTGCAAACCCCCAACCTCCCTAAGTTCACCAAGGACTGAGCGAGATGGGGAAGTGCGGCCCAGAGAGGGAAAGGAAGTTGCTCAAGGTCACACAGCAAGGCCATCCCAGAGTAGGACTTCCCTGGGTGTCTTGGTTTCTGGGGGGATCCTCCTACCCCAGAGTCAAGACCACGCTTGATGGCTTCTAACGATCAGTAGCTCTGGCCACGTGGGGCCCCCTTTCCTGTGTGGCAACATCTGGCTGGCACTGTGCTCAGTGGTGTCCAATGCGAGCCCATCACCTGGCCCCAAACCCACCAGGCTCCTGCCCCCCTTTTCTGCCCGCTGGCCCCTCAAGCTATCTGTCTTTGTGATGCCACCTCCGGAGCCAGGCGGGAGAACAGGGCCAGGGACAGCCGGCGGCAGGAGAGACTCTGTCCAAGGGCCTGCCCTGTCCTTGGGAGCAGGGTGACATCTGGGAGGGTAGGGGCTGTCCGTCCACCTGCAGGGCCCGGCTCACCACGCCCAGGTTGCAGGAGAACTGGCCCAGGAAATCGTGCTCGTCGAGCTGTGTGCTGGACTTGTCCTGGTCGAACAGGGCGAACTTGAGCTTCTGCACCTCCTCAAAGTGGTAGTCGAGGACGAACTTCTTGGAGAAAGCGGGGTTGAGGTTGTTGATGGCAGTTTCGGTCCTGTCGTACTGGCGGGGAGGCAGGGAAGCGGGGGTCAGAGTTCAACCCTTCTGGGGCTGCTGGAGATGACTCTGCCAACTCGCAGACACCGACTCTGTACCAGGCACTTGGCCAGGTACCTGGACGGCTGCAGCGAGCATTGCTCTCAGCTCACAGAGGAGGACACTGAAGCACAGAGAGGTTGAGTGACTTACCCAAGGTGGAACAGCTAGCAGGGCAGGGCCAAGATCTGAACCCAGGTCTGACTCCGGCGCCCACACTCTTAACTCCCTGGCCCTGGCTCCATACCCAGGTGCCGGGATAAGAGCTCGGGCCCTGTCCTGCCTAGAGAAGTGACAGAAGGCAAGTCCCTCTCCTCATCTGTGCCTCAGTTTCCACTTCTGTAAAATGAAGGCTTTGACTCTCTGTGGTTTTAGTTCTTTTTATTTTGAGAGGATCCCTTTTCAAGCCACATTTTACATGGAAGCTGAGAGAGGCAACAGGAAGGAGGGATCCCTAGGGGGAGGGTCTGGGCTCCCCACCCCCCGAGGGCAGATGTTTGTGCCTTGTACGGAATCCTGGAATGTCAATACTGGAATTGTGCAGCCCCAGAGGTCCCACCCACTGTGGAAGCCAGGCCTGGGTGAGGACAGGGCCGGTACTGTGGGTCAGTGGTGGGGCTGGGACAAGAACCCTGCCCTCTGGCCACTCCACACGGAGGCCCCAAACCGCGGAGTCTGGGTGACCGTCTATTTTGGGGCTTGGGCTGTGTTGATTTTTCCTCCCACCCAGTCCATTTCCAAGGGCTGGAGCAGCAGGCAGAGGTCTTGATCTTGGGCTATTTTTAGCTGGGGTGGCTGGCCTGGGTGGGAGGGAGATAGTCAAGGGTGGGGGGCACGGGTTCTAGGCACCTGGCAGAGGGCACAGGATGCTCCAGACGAGTTGGCCTCATGCCTGGAACTACCCCCGCCCCCCTTCTAGGAGTCCTCAACTGACCCCACGTTCCACCTCCCAATTCTGGCTGCATCTCCAAAGCACTGGGTGACACAGAGAAATCCCCACCGGCTCTGGGCCCCAGTTGCCCCTCTGTAAAATGGGTCCATAGTCTCAGCACATTTCCTTGGCTTCATAAGGACCCAACATCTGCGGAAAGTCTTTGTCAACCACAGTATGTCCAGAGGGATGTCCCCTGTGGCCTGGCTAATTACAATGACAAACAGATACATATTTTGGAAAATCTATACTCATATAAAACTGTCTGGAAGGCTGGGTACCCAACTTTTTAAAAATCCTCACTAGAGGCCCTAACTGGTTTGGCTCAGTGGATAGAGCGTCGGCCTGCAGACTGAAAGGTCTCAAGTTCGATTCCGGTCAAGGGCATGTACCTTGGTTGCGAGCACATCCCCAGTAGGAGGTGTGCAGGAGGCAGCTGATCGATGTTTCTCTCTCATCGATGTTTCTAACTCTCTATCTCTCTCCCTTCCTCTCTGTAAAAAATCAAAAAAATATATTTTTTAAAAAAAATTAAAAAAAAAAAAATCCTCACTAGAGGGTATTTTTCCATTGATTTTTAGAAATAGTGCAAGGGAGGCGGAGAGACAAAGAGAGAGAGAAACATCGATGTGAGAAACACATCGATTGTTTGCCTCCTGCATGGCCCAGGGATTGAGCCTGAAACTGAGGTACATGCCCTTGACTGGAAATCGAACCCGGAACCCTTCAGTCCTCAGGCTGACACTCCATCCACTGAGCCAAACCAGCCAGGGCGGGGTACCCAACTTTTAACAGAGGCTCTCCCTCAGAGGCAGGCTCCCCACTATTCTGACTTTCTTCTTCCAGTCCATCTGGCTTTTCTAAATTTACTACAATGAACATAGACCCTTTACGGAATAGGAACGAAGCAATAGTTAAGACTGGAAAGTCTTAACAGTTTGGATTTCTCAATGTCCTTCCTCAACCTGCATCGCTCCCCAGTTCTCAGGCCAAAGCTCTCAGGCCAGTTCCGACGTGCCTGGCTGTGGCCCCATCGACATCCCCAGCTCTGGGTTCCTCAAGGTAGGCAGGGAGGGGGAAATCCACATTTCACAGATGAGACAGTCTCAGAGAGGGACAGCCACCTGCTCAAAGCCACACAGCAAGGAGTAACAGAACTGGGCCTTGGTCCAGCATTGAGACTAAAGCCTGGGTCTCCCTATCCCTGTTTGCCCCTCACTGTGTGTTCGTTTAGGAATAAGTGGGGTAAGTTATTTAACAGTGGAAGCAAGCACTTTATAAAACTCTAAGGTTTTAGCTACATATATAATAATTAAAATATTACAATATAAATATAAAATTATTTATATATATAAAAGCCTAAGCGACCGGTCAAACAGTCACCCAGACAACCGGCTGGTAACTATGATGCACACTGACCACTGGGAGCAGACGCTCAACACAGGAGCTGCCCCCTGGTGGTCAGTGTGCTCCCACAGTGGGAGTGCCGCTCACCTGACCAACGGGCACCAGACGCCAGGCTCACGGCTGGCAAGCACAGCTGCAGCAGCACGAGTCTCTCCTGCCTCTGCGGCAGCACTACAAGTGGTTGGTGGTGGCAGGTGCAGCGAAGCCGGGATGAGCAGAGCGGTGCCCCAGCCGTCTGCGGCTTCTCGCACTACTACATCCCTTGGGGGATGTCAGACTGCCAGTTTCGGCCCATCCGACATCCCCCTGAGGGTCCTGGATTGCGAGAGGGTGCAGGCCACGGCGAATGACCCCAGCGGTGCACGAATTGTGTATGTATAAATCTAAATCTATGCCCTAACCGGTTTGGCTCAGTGGATAGAGCGTCGGCCTGCAGACTGAAAGGTCCCAGGTTCGATTCCGGTCAAGGGCATGTACCTTGGTTGCGGGCACATCCCCAGTAGGGGGTGTGCAGGAGGCAGCTGATCGATGTTTCTCTCTCATCGATGTTTCTAACTCTCTATCCCTCTCCCTTCCTCTCTGTAAAAAATCAATAAAATATATTTTAAAAAAATAAATCTATGAGTTATAATTATAGTAATTTAAATACAAATATATTTAAAGTAATATTTAAATACATTTTAATTTTTTAAAATATGTTTTTATTGATTTCAGAGAGGAAAGGAGGAGAGAGAGAGATAGAAACATCAATGATGAGAATCATTGATCGGCTGCCTCCTGTACGCCCCCTACTGGGGATGGAACCTGAAACCCGGGCGTGTGCCCTGACCGGGAATCAAACCCTGACCTCCTGGTTCATAGACTGACGCTCAACCACTGAGCCACTCACTCCAGCCGGGTTAAAATTTAGTTTTAAGAGTAACAATTTTCTAAGAAGTCCCCAGCCCACACTCCAATTACCTCCAAGGGCCTGGCCGGGAGGCCCCAGGATCCAGTAGAAGCCCCTTCCCCAGACACCTAGCCACCCACACCCATCACAGACACGCATGGAGGGGCTCACCTCAATCCACCGGCCATTGTTCTCTGTGAAGAGGACGCAGAAGGGGTCGGACTTGGAGGTGACGTCCCGGTCCAGCAGGTTCTGGCCACTCACAGACAGCTCCACCTTGCACACGCAGTACTGGGAGCCCACGGGGGCGGCCCCTGCGGCTGGGGCGCCCTGACCCTGTATGTGGGCCATGGGGGGTGGCGGCAACAGTTCCTGGCAGTCTGCGGGGATAGGAGTGGGGGGTCAGAGAGAGGGAACCGACATCTGCCACACCACCTGGGTAGAGAGACAGAGGATGTGGGTAGAGAGATACGAGGAAACGTGTGTGTGAGGGGTGTATATGTGGGCAAAAGATCGGAGAAAGGAGAACGCAGGAAATGAAGGACTCTGGTCAATGTGTTTCGTGTGTCTTTGGAGTTATTCTCTGCTCTGGCCACTTTTTATTTATGAGATACACACAGGTCCAAGTTGCCCCAGTCGGATCAGCAACAAATCACATTGGCGTGGGCATCCCAGACATTCGTTTTACCAGGAAAAGCTGGGCTTCTCCTGAGCAGTTCACACGCCGGCATCTTGTGGCTAAAGTGGAGCTTGTAATGACAGGTTCCCTCATTGCTTTGGCCACTCGGAAGCTCACTTCTGGCAACGTATCCAAAACTTGACCTTGCTCATTGTCTATCTCGTTCATCCTGTATCCCTGGCCTGAGCATGTGACGGGTGCATAGGATGCACGCAGTATATACTCAAATAAAAATAAAAGCATGAGTGTGCCCCGGACGGTGTGGAGTTCTATTCCTGTCAGGGCACATGCCCAGGATGTGGCTCCATCCCCTGTAGGGGGTGTGCAGGAGGCAGCCAATCAATGTTTCCTCTCGCATTGATGTTTCTCTCTCTCTCTCTCTCCCCCCTCCTTCCCTCCCTTCCTCTCTCTCTGAAGATCAATAGAATTTTTTAAAAATATATTTTTATTGATTTCAGAGAGGAAGGGAGAGAGAGAGAAACATCATTGATGAGAGAATCATTGATCGACTGCCTCCTGCATGCCTCCAAACTGGGGATCAAGCCTGCAATGTGCCCTGGACCAGAATTGAACCCAGGACCCTTCACTCCATAGGCTGACGCTCTATCCGCTGAGCCAAACCAGCTAGGGCAAATAGAATTTTTTTTTTAAAAAAAAGCATGAGTGTATAAATCATGAACAAATAAACCCTCCACCTCACTCAGATCTTCCATGAGTTGGTCCTTATCCTCACCATAGAGTTTACCCTTTCATTGTGCACAACTTCCCAAGATTCCATGCACTGGGCCTTATGTGCCCCTCCCACCGTCAGGCTAATTACTGGCATTGCTCGCTTTAAGCAGCTTTCTCTCCAAGTGCAAGGTGTTCATTTGGAGCAAGTGCGGAGAAGCCGCCTCACGGGGCGGCGGGGAGCTCTGGTCCCACAGGTCCCGGGCCCTGTGGACACGCCCTCGGGCTCTCTGAGCCTTCGTTTCCTCACCTGCCCACGAGACAGCAGGACACAGTCTTGGAGAGTCCTGTGGTCAGATCTTATTTCCGCTGGTGCATGTTTAGCTAACACAGGCCCATCACCCTGTGGACGAGTAACTCTTACAAAGGCCAGCTTCCAACTCCTTGACTACTATCTTGCCCCCCCCCTGCTGAGTAGGAAACTGGCCCTGCACTGCCCCGGAGAGGCAGGTGAGAGGAGGGTTCGTTCCCTTGGGGACGACGACGAATCCGACTTTCTGTGCTCTGGGCTCTGACTTTGATCTGCAGCCTCTAATCCTTCTTCAGGCTTGTGGGGCCGCTGCTACTATGGCCCCATTTTCCAGAGGAGGACACTGAGGCTCACTCACTCCCCCTAGGGTGTGTACTGAGCATTGCTCGGTTCAAGCACTGTGCCAGCGCCGGCCGGGGTCCTGCAGGGGGAAGACTGTCAGGCGCAGCCCTCACGCTCCGTCTGGCTGAGAGAGTGGGAACAGCAGCCAGGTTGCCGGGGCTGGAGTCCCTGCAGGGAGCTGGGGCTTTATTCTGAGCCTGACGGAAGCCTGGAAGGTTTTAAGCAGACAGGTGACATGATCTGATTTCTGTTTTTAAAAGCTCCCTCTGGCCCCTGAGGGGAGAGAGGGCTGTCAGGCTAAACAGAGGCAGCAGGGAGGCTGGCGAGGAGGTGGCTGGCATCCAGGCAGGGAGGACGGAGCCACAGCGGCAGTGCTGGGCCGTCCCCCTCCCTCTGACCCTGGCACAGGCCACTCTCTGAGAGCCAGCCCCGCTGGGGGTGTCGGGGCAGTCTCAGGCCGTCTGCAGGTGAGTGTGGGGCAGGCGCCAGGCCCCTGGCCCCTCCAGGCAGTGCCTCCAGGCCTGCCCCGCATGAGAGAATCTGGACAGGGACAAAGCCGGTGCTCATCCCCTCCCCTTACCGTCTGTCCCTAGAACCTCATTATCATCACATGAGCCCAGAGCGGCAGGGCAGTGCTGTAATTTGCCGGCAGGATTTATTCTCCTCGTGTAAAAATCAGTTTCCGTGGAGGGGCTGGAAGCCACACTCCCTTTCTCTACGAGCAGTTGGGTGCCGTGCCCAGTCGGGGAGGGGTGAACATGACCCCGGGAGGGTGGGGGAGAGCCATGTCCAAAATGGACATCTTGCCTTGTGGCTGAGAGAATGCCTGCTTATGCCAGAGGCGGGGGTGGGGCATGACAGTCACCCATTTTACAGATGAGGAAACTGAGGCTGAGAGAGTGCAGAAGTCACCTGCCCGAGGTGGCAGGGCCAGGAAACAGCAGAGGCAGGATGTGGGCAGGGTCTCCAGACTCCCAGGCCAACGCTGGGCTTTCTACCAGGTGGAGGCACTAGGACCCGGCTGGGCACAGCTGGGGAGTCAGCCAGGCGAAAGGCTAAGAGGGGCGCAGAGTGCCCGAGGTCAGCAGTTTCTCTAGGGTCACCCTGTCTATACCCCTGCTGATGGGGTGCATTCCAGCTCCCCTCCTCCTCTCCACCTCACAGGCCCCCTTCCTGGCATGCTAGATGCCACCTGGGCCCCCTGCCAAGTCAGACAGCTCTGTTTTCGTCCTGAGGGGTCCCAGGGACACACACTCAGGCCCGTGCACTTCCTTGCACATGTACACACGTGTGTATGGTCACATAGGCACGTACACACATGTCCCCGAAGAGCACATGCAAAGGCGAGCTCTAGTATGAACACTCTGGGGCCACTTCTCCCCTCCCCCCACACCCGGTCCAAGTCTCCATATCACTCACCTGTCCTCCTGCCCCTCCCTGGCTGGGCCTGGCTGAGGGCAGGGGCAGGAGGGCAGGTCACAGGGAGGGGTGGCTGGGCTGGGCTCCCTGAGCCACTGCCACTCCCTAGATCAGCTCCCAGGCCCCAGAGCGAGCGAGCGAGCTGAGCCAGTGAGCGATGGGTGGGCAGGGAAGGGGCGCTCCTCCCCCGGCTCGGGGCAGGTCCCCCAGCCCCAACTCACCCTCTGGCTGGAAGCCTCTGGATCCCCGAAACGGGGAGCACATCATGTCCCGAGTTGGGGCGGGCCTGGTCAGAGTGGGTCCCTCTGCGCCAGCCCAGCGGTGGGCAGGCGGGCGGGCGGGACCCTGAGGCCTGACGCAATGGAAAAAGAAACCACAGCTCAGGCCGGCCGGGCCCCCTCCCCTCCTACTCCAGCAAAGAGGGCAGGCAGGCAAGGTGTCATTAAGGGAGGGCTGGGCCTGCCATGAGAGATAGAGACGCTGCTGGGTGCAGCACCCGCCTCACAGGTAATTTGAGGTTTCAGGCTGGAAGGGGGCACGGGGAGCCAGAGCCTGCTCACAGATGGTGCTGACTCCTGGCCCAGATGGGCACAGGCCTTCCGGGGTGACTGGACCCCCAGGGAAGGGGCTGGAAGGCAGGGAAACAAATTAGTAGTCTCTTTTACAGATGGGCTCACTGAGGCAGAGAGAGGGCAGGGCTTAGGCATTCCCATTCAGTCACTCAACGAACACTCCTGAGCTCCCTGCAATGAGCAGCAATAAGCAAGACACAGGTGTTGGCCCCCACAGGGTCCACGGGCCCCAGCTTAGAGGACATCTTGTCACTTAGGCAGAAGGACAGCATTGAACCACAGGTCCAGAATATTCTGGTTTTAGCCAGCGACCTCAGGACCCATCTCCTTGGCCTCTCTCTCTCCTTCACCCCCTTATCCCGCTGCTGCCGCCAATTCCACCTCCAAGCTGCAACCTCATCTCCCACGTCCCTGCCTTGGCCCGGCCAGGCCCGTGATCTCGCACTCAGCCATGCACTGGCCCATGACAGTCCCAACTCTCTGCCACACCAGAGCCAGGGGGAATCTTTAAATATTCAAATCAGCTGCTACCACAGATCTACCTGGAAACCTTCCAGTGGCTTCCCCTCCCCCCGCCCTGACCTGACCCCACCTCATGCCACCTCCCCCTCGCTCCCTCTGTTCCAGCGACTCTGGCCTCCCCGCTCTGCAGACAGAACCTGCCGGCACCGTGCAGAGGTTAGGAACATGGACTCTGGACTCAGACAGCCCAGGCTCTGCTCACCTGCTGCACGACCTCAGGCAAGTTTCCCCTCCGTAAAACAGGAACAATAAGAGCGCTTTCTTGGGGCATTGTGAGGATTGAGTGAGGCACAGCCCTCAGAACACGACAGAACGTGTGTTCTTATCTGTGATTCTTGCTGTATGGGCGGGGGGAGGGGCAGGAGATGTGTGAAGTGCACGGTTTATGTAATGGGGGCAAGGGTTTAAACTGGTTGAGAAAGGTGCCTCTGGGCTCCCCTTCTCAGCTGGCAGGGATGCCAAGGTGATGCACTGGGGGGCAGGGGGCAGGGAAGGAGTATGAGGCTCAGACCCGCACCCACAAGCCCTCCAGGGTGCTACACTCCTGGGCTGTGGCCTCCAGCACCCTCAGGGCTGCTGGGTCCTCGCCCACAAGTCCTGCTCAGTGGGATCTAATCACTGACAGCAGAGGCCCCTGGGTGGCCCTAGGTTCTCCCTGCTCCAAATGTGGCTCCCAGATGGGCAGCCTCAGGGTCCCCACCCAGGCGGGCTCAGTCGGAGCCCCTAGACTGGCACAGATCTCCCTGTGCCTCCACAAGGGCCTGGTGATCCTGCAGAGAGCCAAGTGCACACAAAGCCCAGACCTGTGAGTTCACAGCCTCCGGCCTAGACGGTAACACTCTGTCAGTCGGAGCCCCCGATTAACTAAATATCGGTCCCACGGGTCCTGGTGGCTGCAGTCACTGAACCTGCAGGGTTTTAACGTCTTGAATGAGTCTAGATCTAAGTTACCTCCTTCACCCCATTCTCCAGACAAGAAGATCCAGGAAGACAAATGACAGCAGGGTTTTCCAGAGGAAACAGAACCAATAGGATATATAAATAAGTATATATGTATACTTTAAATATATTTTTATTGATTTCAGAGAGGAAGGGAGAGGGACAGAGAGAGAGAAACATCAATGATGAGAGAGAAGCATTGATCGGCTGCCTTCCTGCATGCCTCCTACTGGGGATCAAACCCGCAACCCAGGCATGTGCCCTCGACCGGAATCGAACCTGGAACCCTTCAGTCCGCAGGCTGATGCTCTATCCACTGAGCCAAACCAGCTAGGGCTCGAAATATATTTTAAGGAATTGGCTCACATGATCGTGGGGCCTGGCAAGCGGAAATC